GGTTTCTTTTACTTAAATATTATGGTATGTTGTTTGCAGGTCTATACATGTCATTAAAAACAGGGCTTCTAGGGACTGTGAGAAATCATCTGGCTGATGTCCCTGGCCCAAGGCAGACTCACCTGTCAGGAATGGTTTAGATAGTTATATAAGTGTCCCTGTAAATCTCCAATGGTGGAGATTTTGCAGCCTCCATAAGTGATGCGTTTCACTGCTCATCTATTCCAACCACAGAGCTGCTCATCTATTCCAATCAGCAGAAAGATCTTCCTTATGTCAAAATTTCTCCTGTTGCCATTTTGAGCTTGTTACTCATAACTGAGCATAGGAAGACTTTATTTCTTTCCTCTATATAAAATCTGGCATTTTTCTTCATGGTCTTTTCTGGACTGCATAAATCCGTTTCTTTCATGAATTCGATCAGAAATCTGAAAGACTTCTACTACATTCACATTAGTCTAAATTGTTCTTGAAGAACAATACTTAAAGTTGGATATAATATTCCAGCTAAAAGTCTCATCTGTATTCACTAGACATTAAAGCTTACGTGTAAAACATGTAAGAGTCTGTTTATTCATCATGTTGTAAAACTGTTGCAAAATCATGCAGGTGGGTTATTGAGCCATGTTCAATTTTCTGTTTGCTGTAATCCCAATAAACTTTCTGGGAGAGCTGGTATACTGTCATAGTGTTTATTTTAGGTTTTGGTAGTTGGTTATTCCTACATGTAATACTTAATCTTACTTCAGATAATTGGTGTTGGTAAATTCAAAATTCCTGCTCTCCTCTAAAGAGCTTTCTTTTGGTTCCTCCCTTGGAGTGTCTCAGATTTTATGTGTACTCTAGTAGCATCTGCATCACCTATGAAAACATAAATAGTTTTGGAATCAGATAGACTACCATGGAATTGTCTAATATGTTATTCTTAATCATCTCATGTTTTAAAATGTGTTAAAGGGGAGGCTAGAAGAGAAATATTGGGGTTATAGATTGTGGATAATTATGTTATGCAGCTTTTTGGCCAACTGCGCCACCCACTGTGTAGACTAGAGGAAATAATTGTATTTCTCTACTTTGTTATGAAACTGGCATTTGAAACAAAAGGTCCACATTAGCCCATCTTTTTCTTTTTCCCTATCGACAGCACTTGCTCAGTTAAGAAAACTGCAGACATGAGATATGATTCCCACTCCTGGTTCTAGGCCAGTGGGTTTTTTCCAGGAATTGAAATTAGGTTAATTTGGTCTAAAATTTGGTCTAAAATTCTTTGGCTTCTCTTCTTCCATGTCAGGCACCACACTTTTACTTCCTCCCCCACCTTTTAAAATCCCACCTACACTGCAGAATTCTCCAACACAATCACTCGCTATGCAGGTGATTTCAGAGAGGTCCTGCACTGCCCTTCCCTGGAAGATAGGCAGCTGCCTTGCTCCAGATGGCTGGAAATAACCCACACAGACCTCCATACTAACACTGTAGCCGTGTGTTTTAACACCCAGACTTTACAGCAGGACCATCCCTTGCTGCAGGGAGTACCACTTGGCTCCCTAATTCTGTCACATTTTCCATTTTTTTCCAAAGGAAAAGATTTAGAAATGCTGCAAGTAGTATTCTGAATTGCATAGTCCCACTGTATATAATGTAGCTTGTATTACTATATATACTGTATCTTTCTTGTATGATAGATAATTGCTTGTCATTTTTAAGGTAAAATCATAGCCACAACTGTTACTGTAATCTTTGCAGTTCAATCAGATTACAAAATATGTGAAGTAATAGACCGTTTGATTGCCAAATTAAAATGGAAATGCCAAGAGCTTCTCTACTGCTACATTGCCTGTAAACTCCCACCTATCTCTGCTTTGTGGAGATATCATGAGAGCAGTATTCCCCCTAGTTTTCTTGAAGATGCTGCATCATTTCTGTTAGTGTTCTTTGCCAGGTGAACAGTGTTATCACATGGTCTCTAAATATTTGTGAAGCAGGATTTTTCTACAGCATTACTGACAGAATGCCTCCCTGACACTCTTTACCTGCATAGCTAAACGTAAGTGGTTTATTGTATAGTTTGCCTAAACGCCCATAGTAGAGTTATTAACACATGGCAAATAAATGTGTGAAGGATGGTTATCAAAACCAAGAGTAAGCAAGAAAACTGCACAAGCAAGTAAATGATGAGAAGTTGATCTATTTGATATAAGAAAAAATAGCAGAACCATCTTGCAATTATTATTTCACAAAAATTCTTGTGTAAAAAAATGTCAGTTGTTATGCACAGTTTAGCTGTCTTTCCAACCGCACCACACTGCATCAAAACCACTTAATTCACTTGCTGTTTACAAAGAGCACTATGTGAGAGCCAGGATTTATAAATATGCTAGTGCTGGTGAACCCTTCTGTTAATCCAGAAGCTTCCCTAGACCAACATCTTCAAACAATGCAGACTTCACAGAATTTCTGCTACATTGAAATTAAATAATTTGAAATGGACATAACTCAGAAAAAAGACTACTGAAGCTGTAAATAAAAAGTGCTTGAAATAACAGCTTTTAAAAAAAAAATTACTTCATCTTATCATTAAGATGAGCTTATTAGGCACAAACCTCTGTTTCCTACATATAACTGGAGAGAGGAGCTGCTGACATTTTTCATTTACTCTTAGGATAAAAGAATTTTTAGTCTTAGACTCCTCCTTAGCTTCTGAAGAGTGAAAAAAACAGTGATACGTTGTACATGCTTTATGGAGTTGGAGTTCTATAGTTGGTTTTAGTCACATGTAAGTTATGACAATATTTCTGGTTCTGACTTCAGAATAGGTCTTTTGATGCACTAGAATGTAATTTTGGTATTTTTCAACATATACTGCACTGATGATGTGTATAAATTTAGCAGTAACATTTTTTTGTGTTTAGGTCTAATATTTATCAGGCAGGACTAAATGCAAGTTCAGAAGAGGTGCTGGAATGAACAAAACCTTTTAAACGTTATCACATTATCAACTTTATGAATCTCCCTCTACAGTACCAGGTTCTAATGAGAAAGTGTTTTATGCTAATTTAAGAAAGCCTCAGAACTACTGAAGATTGCTGACCTGTAACAGGGAAACTTATTTCATCTATAATACATAAAAGATCAGAATTTCCTTCTGCAGAAACTGTGCTGAGTATGCAACTGGGAACAGCATGCTAGCTGTTTAATGTGTTGTTAAAAGACAACTAACTTAAACATCCCAAAAGTAGTTTAGAGATAAAAATTATTAGGCTGCAATGAAGATCATGGTTGTTACCCTGAATTTAAAAGAAATTTAGAAAGAAAGACATGAAATTAAGATAATTTCCCTCATAGCAAAACCTTGAGATTCTGAAGCATAGTTTCTTTTTTACTCATTAGTTCATGTCTTTGGTCAGAAAACCTGTTGCTACAATTGAGCAAATTGTCAAACACAGATTAGCCTGAGGCATGGTCAGTGAAATTGAAAAGTGCATAGATGATGGCTGATACAACAGATTTGGCAAAGATATTTCAGATATTAAGATAATAGCTTTTAATATTTTCTACATGTCTCACAACTACTGGATTTAATAAAAAACATCACTTGATATTATAATAGTTACTGAAAATGACTTGGAAAACACCCTCATTTTGAAGAGTAATGTTTAACCATCAGAGATTAGGGTGAGCATTAGGGGGTAAATGCATGCAATTTTGCAGCAAAGCGTGATGGAAAAAGCTGATAGTAGCTAGCAATCAGAATCCATATACCAGAGAAAGATAGACCCTGGGTACTTCATTGTCCTCAGCAAACCATGTAAAAGAAGCAAATTTATCTTAGCTAGTGTATCTTTGTAAAATTTCCTCACATTAATAATTTTTGGGGAAGGAACTGCTTGTTGGACTTAACTACAGATGCAAGGAGCAAAATGATCTGGGTTTACAGTAGGTGCTAGAGGAAAATAACACTGGGATTGCAAATCCATAAGGGATTTTTTGCCAGTTTCTAAATTGTTGCAGGAAGTTATTGCTAAGTTGTTTTCTGTATTATACCAAATACAGTGACACTTCATATCCACTAAAGAAATTTATTAAAAACTGCGCTTTTAAACTGGGACATTTGTCAAATGTAACAGATTAAGTAACTGACATTTCCCAGTTTTAACCTCTGAAATACAGAAGTGCAAACAAGTTTACTTCAGCATAATTCTTTATCTTAACTTCAAAAGTTATCTCTGACATTGTCTGAAATGTGAACTTTTTCAGTACCAAGGAAGTTTATATTTGCTAGGAAGTTTGTTTTCTCAATGACATTTTTTTGAAAAGAGCTTAAACCTTGGTCAGCATTTTTATATGAGCTCTAAGTCACCCCTGACTGTGGTTCAGGAAAACAAGCTACTTGTGATTAATGTTTTCAACCTGAATCTTAAGCGGTAAAGACCTCTTAACTTGACCCTACTGATTTTTAGTGTGTCAAGATGGTGATACATTACACAGGTATGTGATAGATATAAATATACACTATACACATTATACATATACACACACCATGTATACATATATATATATATATAGTGCACCTACTAGGGCCAAAAAATTTTTTGCAGCTATTACCGTCAGTCAAGGTACATGCACAATCATCAGGATTCACCAACCAAGAACTGGATATGCCAAACATAATAAAGTCTGACACAACAGGTGTGCTTTTACTGTTCTAATTTTTAATAGTGCAAAAAAAAAAAAAAGCCAGTAGTTTACTATTTTAAGATATCCCTAAATCTAAAAATATTTCTATTTAAAACCAAAAATGCAGTAGCTGGTTTTTTTTTGCAAAAACATCAGGTAAACTATTTGAAGCCAAATAAATTACCATAATGTTTTTGTGGAACTGAATTATAAAACTAGTAGTCCTTTACACAACCTTAAGAAAAAAGCTTTAAAAAGATATTTTGCCTTTGTAGAAGAGCATATTGGCAGTATAAAGCAAATCCAATAAGACCATTTGGAGCTCAAGCTGTACAAAAGTCAATATGTGCTAGTAATTCTCTATGCTCACTTGTTCGATACTGCACTTTACATCTAGGACACTCAAGAAAACTTTCATCAAGAAGGCTTGAATGTTTCAGGGAGGGACTTCTGTCATACGTGCTCAGCTTCTCTTCAAATGCAGCTTGCAAATCTTCTTGTGTTTCCATACATCCAGATTCCTGGAGTTTATGGAAAAAGAGAAGCTTTAGTGTCAGATTGGGGCATGCATGCACTGATCAAATATTGTAGAAAAAAATGTTCAAGTCTGATGACACACAAACCTTGTGTGTGTTGTAGCACTAAGGGTAGAATTTTAGAGATGGCTAAATGCAGTTATGTTACTTGTGTTAGTAACAGAGGACCTGTTGTACAATTCTAACACTGCATTTTAATTAGATTGCGGGTAGCTTTTCTGCACACTATTTAAGACAGGTTTCCCACAATGTCTGAATGGGAATTCTTCCCCAGCCATCCTCCTAGCTGCTCACACACTGTCAGACTGTCTTTCCTTAATGAAATGATGCTTCAGTCCCCTCTACACAGGATGCTGCCCAATTACTTTCCCATAAACTCTGCTGTAGTTTTCTCTTCTCCTCCCAAGCGTTAAGTTTCTGTGCATGAAGGCTGCCCCTAACCCTAAAAGGCACACAGTCTTATTTGATACCTACTCCTCCTGCTTCTTAGCACAGAGAAACACAAAGCTCCAACTTCCCTGCTCTGCCCAAACTGCTGCTCCACTCCCAGCAGACAGGTTTTCCAGTGGCCTCCCCTGGCTGCAGCAGCAACTGCAATCCTAGCAAGCAAGCCTCTTCAAAGGGCAACACGTGAATGAAGAACATCAGTATCCCAGAATACATTACATTCCCTTCCTCATTTGAGAAAATACTATTCTGTTGCATACAACTAAGAGGGAAAGCAGTCTGGCAGAGTGACAGGAGAATCCCTCTCATATGCAAGTTGTTGGAAGCTTTGGCATTTACCTTCTCTGCAAAAAACACAGCGGCCCCAGACCTCATCTAATGAAGGACACAGGTCCTGGATCAGATGGAAGTGGGTGAGGAACTCAACTTATATATTTAAGGATTGTAACCTGTTAACTAGTAGCAAGTTTGAGTAGAAGCAAAACTAGATACACATTGTGATACAAAATAGTTATGTTCCCTACTCAGGAACTGGACTGATCTGGATCTCCTTGTGCAGCACTCGTTCTCTGTGCATGCTATAGAGAAAGATGATGCTAGTTGACATAGGGTTCTGCACCTTTGGGCACATACCTAAAGGCTGTAAGGTGCTACAGCGATATCTGATGACATTAACAGAAGGCTCACTATGCCTGAAATACAATCTCAAAGTGAAAAGATACACAGTTATGCAAAATCCCTGACTAAATTCACCTGCAAGTTATCAGTACATACCAGAGGTTCCAGACGGGTTAGCTGCCCTCTGTGCAGGACCTTGCGCAGTTCCTTGAGGACTTTGTTTAATTGATGCTGCAAGTTCTGGCGATCAAGCTTTTCGTTCTCAAAGTCTGTTGTGCATATCTGGATCTGGCAACCCCCCAAAGTGAAAATTAAAGAATTAAAGTCAGAATTATTAAGAATTGAGGGTGGGGGAAGGGAGATAATGTATCCCCTTTATATATTTAAAGTAAGTTTTACTCTGCTATCATATCCTAAAAGACAATTTTAAAAAAACCAAAACACTAGTGCTTTCACTACAGTGAAATTCATACATAGTTATGAAAATCTTCTCCGTTAATATGGGTGAAGTTTGAAGTTATTTTGGTTGGAGAGTATTTCAAGCTGTCTTACAATCTTAAACTGAAGATTTTATAGAAAAGCATATAGCGCAAGTTCTCATTAAAAATGCCAGTTTCTACTCCAGGATCTTATAACAAGGCAATTTGGGCAGAAACTATAGTTAACACTGTACACTCAAGCTTAGCAAATAAATATAACTTCTTTCCCCCAATAACATCAATTAGATCTGTAAGAATGTACTTGGAAAAAAAAAATAATATGGAAAAGATAACAATGCAATTATTTGTATAGCTTTATGAAGAGTTATACAAAGTTCATTATTATTATATGAAGTTTATTACAAAACTTCAATGAGCTGATTAGTTTTAGGATGTTTCCTATGCCTCATGTGAGGCTGTACAGTTGTACAAGAGATTGTGGAGAAAATAGCATCAGGTTTGATCACACTCTCTTATCTGTAAAAGCTTACAGATTTTCCTCTTGACAGACGTGTCAAAATTTTTAGAAGCATCAAGAAATTATTCACAGGTGAATATTCATATCTAATATTACTTTATTTAATATACTACTCAAATTTGAAAAGTTACTCTAGAAAGTCTTTATGCATAATACAGGTTAAGTATCGGCATCTTAGCATATAATTCAGTACCTGTTTTTCCAACAGAGCTATCCTAGTGTGTTCCTCCTGCTGTTTTTGCAATGATTTACGAAGAAGTTGCACCTACAAGGCAGAAAAACATTTGTAATAAAGAACTTCCATATACAGCAGTTAAGCTTAACAAATAATTAATCTAAAAAGAGACTGAAGTAAAACTATATTCCAAAGCAAAAAGAAAAATGCATGCCTGTTATGCAACAGCCAAACCCAATTCAAATATCTCTGCTCCTCTGGGGAAAACCCCAGGGAAAAATCATTGCATTGAGCAGGGGGAATGCAGGATGATGTTATAGGTCAAAAAAAGTCAAAAAGAACCTTCCGAGGTGATTGCTAGGATGCAGACAAAAATATATGCGCAAAACCTATGTTTGCAGTAACATGCCATGATGTTAAAAAAACCAAGCAATGCAACCTTTTTTTTTTTAAATAGAAGAAAACAAGTTTAAGACTCAGAAAAGAATGGATTAAGTAAATGTAAAACAAAAGTAAAAATATCCTCTGTTATCAGTGTGCATCAACTCTTATAGTGAATGCTGTTGTTTAGCTGCAAAAAAATAAAATAAAAAACCTTTTAATCATTATTTAACCAGTGAGAAGCAGTCTGAGTTTAGAGAGCTAAAGTTCTGGTTTTAGCCTACTTTGGTGGCTGGTAAATTTTAGTCTCGTTTTTAAGATTTCAGGTCTCCACTGCTTTGTTATTGACCACAAACTTCTCCCAGTAGCAAGTCTATCTTATTTGGATGCCCTAAGCATCGTCCTTCAAGGAAGACTTTCCAGTTTCTCTTCAGCAGATGTGTGGTCATGATTTCATGTCCATAAAAAGAAACAACAGGGTTTGCTGGGGTTGGGTTGGTTGGTTGGTTTTTTTGTTTGGGTTTTTTTTTTTTTTTGGGTTTTTTGGTTTTTTTTGTTAGCATCACTATGCTGATAGGAATATTCCAAGACACCACTGTAACTCTTCATGTAGGGGAAGTGGCAAAGTCCTCACGAGTATTCCAAACAAAAGGAGGTAAACACTGAATATTTTAAAATACAAATAATGTAGCACATACATGTCTTCCCCACAGCCAGAGTGGTTAAAGATAACATAAACAACAGTTACCAGAGCAAGTGACTGATGGTCCATTCTGATTAAGTATGACTTTTCAGCTATCTTGATTCTTTGCTAATGATCTTAAACCTCCAAATGCATCCACTTACCTGACTTAAAAGATCTTCAGACTTCTTCTTTTCTTCTCTGAGCTGTCCTTTAATAGTTTCATTTTCTTGTTTTAGTCTCTGCACTTTCTCTCCTTTAATTTTATTTTCATTTTCTAGAGTCTTAATTTCAGCAACCTGTTGCGACTGCAATAAGGTATTTAAACTTGTTATTTCTTGTTGTGCTTCTTCATACTTCTTTTTGAATTCGTTAAGTTCAGATTTCAGTTGGGTTATAGTGTGTCTTTCAGTCTCAAGATCACTCTTAGCAGTTAGTAACAGCTGGTCATAATATTTTTGCTTTTCCTCTTGTGGATGACCTTAATGAGTCAGAAATAATTGAGATAGTAATGTGGGGGTGGGACAGAGGTAGAAGAATACTTAAAAATCAGAACACCAAATCCTTTTAAGGCATATTGATAGAAATAGACATTCTAGGCGATTACACAGCTCAAACTGGCACCAAACTTTAGTTAAAACAGCTTTCAATATAGTAAAGTCTCCTTACAGCTTTCAATACAGTAAAGTCTCCTTCCCAGAATAGTTACTGGAAGACTGCAAGTTGGCTTGCGCATAGTAGTGTGTGCTACAGCCACTTCCTTCACTAACCCTTATAGCAATATTACATCCTTTGCCCTGACTACACAAGCTCCATGACTCACACATAGTTCTTATATGGCCTCAAGCATTTTACTCATGCATGGGAATCCAGGCCCAAATACACTAGGATTCTCACTTCCAGATTTAGGCTCCTTAGCCAAGGTGCTGGCGTTACTCCCTCCCCAGAGATACTCTAGGGATCTGACAGGCTCTACTTCACCATTATTGACCAAAGCCAGACTATCCATTGTCTTTTGCAGACTATCTTCTTCAGATTGTACACCATCATTTACTTCTAAATTGCAAATAAACGGGACTAGGATACATTTTTTTAATAAAAAATGCCTGCTTCTTGGCTAGTCACTGTTACCCAAACTAGAGTTTGAAAAATTTCTGCTTGTTGACCCAAGAAAAGTTTAGTAAGCAGGGAAAAAAAAAAAGAAGGCAGTCTATAGAATTTCAGTAGCAATACGTAAAAAATATACCTAAAAGCAGAAGAAGGAATGCAGCGTTTTACAAATTTCGCTGATTTTTTCGTACTGTAAGTTTCTTGACTTTGATATTTTTCCTATTGAGGGCTTCCCCTCATTCTTCAAAGTGTAATTTACTAGGGAAAGTTTCCTGTTTGACTGTTCTGCCCCCCTTAACAATGAGCTAAGCCTTTACTTCTCGTTAGCAGTATTCCTTTACAGAGTCGCAAGATCTTCAGTGAGATACCAAGTTTTTCCTTGGAAAAAGTTAACATATCTACTTTCAACTTCTATATAGCTAGGTTCTTAGAAATTTGGATCTCTGCTACTGTCTAGCTGCTCAAAGAAGGGAACTTTCTTATACCCTTATTCCTAGTCTCCTGGCCACTCTGATGAAGCTTCGACGGCAGTAACTCTTAAGTTACATCTCGTGGTGAGTGACTTGAGTCTGCCTGCCTCTAAAATACTGTTCATAGATTTCTAAATACCACCAAAATAAAATTATGATATTTTACTGTTTTCCATAAAGATTCAAGCAGTAATATGGAAACCAAGCCACTGTGCATGAATTACTAAGTATCTGTGGGCACACTCTTACTCCAGATGATGCTAGCTCTATTTAGTGAATTCACCTTGCAGGTCAGTTGCAGCTTAGATGGAATAAATAATTTGATAATAAGAAAAGCAAGTCAACTCCTGGTTTTTCTGTTCAACATGATTTTAATTTTATTTCATGTACTGGTCAAGCACAACTCAAGTCAATCTGAATACATAGTAATGAGAGGGTGCTTATTATTGAGGAAGTACATAGCACGGAAGTGAGCCAGATGTGGCCAGATCCATATTGCGAAACACTGGTTTGGGTAGGTGCCAGCACTACCACAGGTTTCATGCCCTGTAAGAACTGTTCAGGTGAGTGAAGAACATGGCAGTCTTGAGTCATTTTTATAATATTTATTTTGAAAAAAAAAGTTTAAAAACCTGATCCACGCCTAGCTAATAAATGCTTAGTGCTTCCCCTGTGCAGGTTGAAAGTGTACTTTGAAGGATGGGAGACATACATGTATTTGCCTCTATACTTCCTGCAAACAGAGAGGTTGCTAATAGAGTGTCAAGGCTGTTAAAAACCACCTTTGAAGTAGATAAGAAAGTGAAATACTGTCGATCAAGTAACGTAGTTAGATAAACGGAAGCAAAGAAATTTTACTTAACAGAGTTTTGCCATTAAGAAACAAAAATGTTGAGAAGGAAGTAGATTGTTTAATTGTGCTATAATTTGTTTCCAGAAAACTTATTCTATAGATAATTATAGTTTGGGTCACTTGTAGGAAATAAAGTTGATACCTTCTGAATTGAACTCTTTAGATTCTTGTTGGCAAACTATTTCTGACTTCTGTTCAAGTTCAAAGATCCTTCCAAGCAGTCCCCTGACATATGCTTCGCGTTGCTGGTCATACAGTAGCCACTGTTGGTTTTTCTCAAGAGCCTTCATGAAAAGAAAAAGAAAGACAAAAAAGCCTCTGATAATTTATCAGATTTTAAAAGTATTAATAATCTTAAAAATGTTGAAAGTTATTTATTATACAGTTTAAAGATAAGCTAGTTAATTCTTCTCTAAATTTTAGTAATTTTCTTTGTACAATAAATAAACCATCTTCATTTGGAAAGGTAAGTCCAAGTTGTTGAGCCTAAATTGAAATTACAGCAATATTAAACACTGACTGGCTTATTTCTTGGAATGGGAAAATGACTTAAAAACAAAGGCTCTCATGAGTCATGCCCAGATACTGAATAATTAACCTTTCAATGTCAAATATAAAATACAATATAAAAAAACCCAGATCTTAAAAATTGAATAAACTAAAACTGTATCATTGCAACTTAAAGTTTGTAAGAAAAAGGACATGGATTTTATATCTTATGGAATCACAGAATTATTCAGGTTGAAAGGGACCTCAGGAGGTTTTTAATCCAACCTCATGCTACCCAGACAGTGTCAGCTCCAAGGTCAGACCAGGTTACTTGGGGCTCCTGTTTTGTAAGCAACCACTTTGTTCTGATGTTCCAAGCAAGGTTTTTCAACAATGATGAAAATACTATCTTTTTTTAGCAAGTTTTTTTTAATTTAAATTTTTGTCCTATCATAAAATAATTTTAGATATTATATTTTAGAGGGAAACATACCCTCTGAGGTCCCACACTACCCAAAAGCATATAAGGTGATAATTTACATTCTTATGCATCTTGATATAGATGATTTATACTTGCAATGTTGTACATGAAACTTACATCTTTCAGTTGTTTTTCAACTTCATAAAGAGTAGTTGGTGACCCAGTGCTGTTTGTTGCAGCTTCCTGCAGACAAGGAACCTGTTAGTGTTCTTTAAAACAGGCAGCTGAAACAGTAAAGCTAGTCCACTATAACTATTAATCTCACATAAATTGCATAAGAATATTTTTTTAAATGAAAAACAGATGCATACGTGTGCCTTTTGTATTTGAAGATCTTTAGTCTTTCTTCTTTTTTTTATAAAAAGGATCTAAGTTATGTAGAAAACCATTTCACAGATTTAAAATAAAATCTCCTGGAAGATAACAGGCGAAAGATCTACGTTTAATTTATTCTATAACTCTGCAACTCAGTTACATTAAAACATTTCCTAAGAAGAAAATAATGTATTTTCTGCTGAACTGCTATCTTGGAAGACCTGAAGGGTGCAGGCAAACTTATGAAAAATGAAGATATTTAGGATATTATTTAAATACACAAAAAAGGTGTTTGTTCTATTTTCATATCCTTCTATGTTTGACAACAAGCTAGACCTATAGGAGTTGTTGGGGAAAGCTAGAGAGCTTGACAACTTAATTGGGATAAAAGGATTATAAACATCTGGGAAACGATGCAAGCCTGTCTGGAACAATAAGAACACCTTGACTGTTTTTCTGAGACCTGATCCACAGTAGACCACTTAAAGTATGAGTTGGACAGTTCTTCAGACCCATCTAAAACTAAACAACAGTTAAACAGTTGTAATTCTTTCATAATCTGACATGCTTATTCACTGCATGATAGAAAGCTTTATGAAATTGTGTAGATACAAGTCAGAGGGAACTTTAAGGAAATAAAAATGCAGATTACTACCCAAATCCAAGCTACATTTTTTCCAAAGTGTTCCTGTGTTTTTTGGAACATGATTTAGAACAAGCTTTGCAGATGAAAAAAATACAGATTTTTGGCTGCAATTATTAAACTTCAACACTTCCTAATTAAAAATATGATTTAGAGACACTACAATTGCTCAGATTCTTATTTCTATAAAGTCTCTATAAACAGAACTCTGCCTCAGTGAAAACTTTATCAAAATTGTGTCATACAACTGTTGTTTCCATTTCAGAGTATACCTACTGCTCATGCTACCTAGCCGTTTCAAGCAGCATTGCTAGACTTGTTTTCAAGTTTTCCAAGACATCCAGTCAAGACATTAGTCAATTTTTGTTGTCCTCTGTGATAAATCAGGAAAAAAAAAATTTAAACAAAAAAAAAAAAATTTGGTCATTCATTGACAAAAGATATTGTGGAAACAGGTTGAATTAACATGCATTTTAAATTCTCTAACAAAGTTCAAAGTCTCTTGAAATTAAAAAGAAAGACTTTGCATTTAAAGTGGTATTACCCAAGATACTGCATTATTAGAAGTGACACATATATGTATTATAATTGAAAGCTAGTAGATTAAGATATTTCGCTATGTATTTGGCTAAAGCTAGATTTCTAGTTTAGTTTAACATCTTTATCGATGACCTGAATG